AAAWYYWAAAAWYWTTTTTTTTGTTTGTTTTCTAAGATCCAATGACTGTGGCAGCCATCTTGAATTGGGTCACATGCTTTATTTATGGGTAGACTAAGCACCTTTGAGATGTGTACAGTTGAGACACCATCAATATCTTCTGTTTGCAGCAAGTCTTAGTTGTGGTTTTTGCTGTGCACATGTATTAGTGTCCTGATAGTGGAAAATATGAACTCCATGCAAAGCGCCACACTGAAGACATCAACAAAAGTACCATTGGGCAGGCTAGACTTTGACTTTACCATGTCCCTTCTACAGTGAATATCCTATGTAACTTGGATATAGGCAAAAATTAGTTTATGCCCTAAAAACTAACATATTTCATGACATCATATCATTAAAGATCATCACATAATCCATTGAAATGTGCAACATGGYCWCCAGGGTACCCGACATTGATTTGCATGGTGTGTATCAGCAATGGGTTAAGTATGTTYATTCATTCATTTGAATTTAATAAACATTTATTAAGCTGTTATTTGAATGCATACMATTCATGTGAACTGTAGATCAATTAGTAATACCATTATACTGCAAAACTATACTAATAATCAACAAATTATTATGTTATCTGTTAAATATTAAATTTGTTTAGCWGTGTTCTACCTTTTAACCTATGCTAGAGTCAATGTAAATGAAATAAAAACATTGATGAATTATAAAACACTGACAAAGTATWATTTGAATGGCGTCTCAACTGTACCCTTAAGTTTTTTTAYATGGGTACAGTTGAGACAAAAATTCATTTTTGGTTTTGATTAATTAAGAAAAATATAAACAACTTAGAGCTGTTATCTCTTGGCAATATTTTAGTTAACAATTAAAAGGTATATTATGTAAAAATATATTATTTTCAGCGTGTTTTTAGTGTCTAATTTTTGTTTGGAAATGGGAAAAGCAAAAACTGTCTCAACTGTACTCAGTCTACCCTTATGTAGGCCTACGTCTATGTACAGTATGTATGTATGTATGTATGTATGTATGTATGTATGTATGTATGTATGTATG